ATTTTTCAAGAGTGTTTTCAAGTCCTCATGGTATTTCTTAACTTTTTCACTTATAACCTGACATTTTGATTGCCATCTTAGCCACATGAAACTATGGGCATTCGTTGCTCTTTTAATGCGATTTCATCAAATGCGCCATGAATTTCCACATTATCTCATTTTAAGGTATTAAATGCTTTGTGGGATTATCCTTGTCTTATATCCAATAATTAACGACAAACTTTTCTGTTATCTGTGTTATAAGCCGACCTTTAACGTCCGAGTCACCTAGGACGAAAACATAAGGTTTGGGCATTTAAAATGCTTAAATATAACATAAACGAAGTCATATACAATCATTTTGGAATTTCTAATACAGACCCAAGTAACGCGCATAATTATCGTTGCATTCGTAAGGTTAGGCATTTGATTTGTATCTTTTGGTGCCTGCAACTATTCAAATAATAAATCATTCTCCTAGAAGAAAATCCGAATAATTTGAATGAATCAGTGTAATTTGTGTTTGTGTGCTTTCCTAGAATTGCAATCCTCAGGACGGCTTCTTCTCCTCCTTTTGGGGCCTTTACCTGGCATTGTGTTTCCTCCTCAGTCGCACACCCAATGATGTTGGTATCGTCCGATTGCTCTTCATCCACATCACTGCAACCAACAACATCAATAAAAGCTTGCCTTCCACGTCACCTCTATCCCGCCTTCACTATCTTCTTCGACGAGTCTCCTGGTGTCTCCAGAATCTCTTCGTTGTGAGGACTAGTCTTGAGTCTTCACACCACCGTCGCCAGCAGCATCAGAAGCAGCAGTCACGAAAGCGTGGAATGGTTACTTCATTGACTTCCTGTGACCGGAAGAGTGGCGACGAGGAATGTGAGACGGCCTCACGGTTCCTTGCTGCCAGCAGGCAGCAAGGGCGGCAGTCTCAACTCGCACTGTGGCCGATGGAGGTCTGTGGGGGTACGGAGCGGTCGCTGTCGTCACAACTGTCCTCTACACCAACGCCTCCACCGCTGCCGAGGACAACCACACCGGAGTCATTAGTGCTGTCGCCGTTCGATGGTGGATTGGCGGGTAAGTCGGACAGAGTAGAAGACAATCTGGTTTAGGTGGTTTTATAGCCTATTAAATTATCAACATATTGCATGGTCTTACAAGATTTTTGATACGGTCTCTAGGATGATGACTTGGCAGAGCGATGAACTGGTTCAAAAGGGGGTTTTATGTCATATTGCAAGTGCGCATTTTTTTGTGGAATCTTTACCAGTCTTCTCATGATATGATCGCAAATGGTTCAAGATAATGTGATAGTCTTAACCCCAAATCTAGGTGCTAGGGTGACTGAAATTGTAGGGAATATATCCTGACTCATGTAATCAATGTGGAACCTAACAAAGGCCTCTTGATACACACAGGATAACTCTGAGATGCCCTTTAACTTTTGATTTGTTGAACATTACTATCTGATGATAGACAGACGCCTTATCTTGCTTGATTAAATTGCCAACAGACACAACTTGTGGTTTTTGATTCCCGACAAAGCCTCTGTCTCGGTACACCTTTTAAAACAACTTGAAGGATGAGTTAGACGTGTGGAAAAAGGCTGATCTAAAAGTAGCCTAGATGAAGCTTTCTCAAGAATGGTCAACCTGATAACGGAACCTGCGCATTACAGCGTCCAATTCCATTTTTTGATGAGACCTCTATCGAATTTTGGAGGCTTTAATTTGGTTTAGCGCTGGTCTTTGTTCGCGACAGCCATAATGGATCTGACAATCTTTGAAAAGGACATTAATTTACAGTAAGTGCTAGATACGAAGCATAAATGTTGAGATAGGGGAATTTTGCCATTAAATAACCGGGGCACCCTACATTCATCTCCCACCAAATAGACGATGATTTCATGACAGTGGCCTGCGAGTCGGGTAGTTGTCGCCAATCTTTGGGTTCAGCGCATTCCACGAGCAACCTTCAATTACCACTCTCACACTGTCGTCGCGCCTCCTCTTCTATCCTTTCTCCTGTGCCTGAAGGAGTCGCTTCACCTCCCTCTGCGGCTCCTCTTTTTTCCGCTGCCGCTGGTATTGATACCTCCTCTTCCTCCTCTGATATCCACGACCCTCTGCCAGGTCGAACAGTCGCCGCCATGCTCATCCGCATCCGCAACGACTTCCTCCTCATCATCATCTGGGCTATCCTCGGTTTTGCAGTCCACGTGAGTACGGTATTCACCGTTCCGACCCTCCAACCAACCCTCCCACGCCTACTCACCTGGCTTCTTATTGTGTGGGGTTTTGCGCTGCATTATGTGTGGCCGCAGCTTCGAAAGGTAGGCGCTTCATCCACCGCTATCTTTCGGTCGCTTTGCCTCATTATGACAATTTCTGTTGTAGCCCTTCCCCTGGCTCCTCTTAGCGCATCCTGTTTGTCCACCCGCCGCGGACGGACGAGTGACGGCCCTTGAAATCGTCTACCACTGGTGCCATTGGTTGGAGAAGTATTTTCTGGTGCCTGCTGTGACTATGGCCACTGCTACGAAGGCTCTGATTCCCTTGGCCGCGAAATTTGGAAATGTGTGAGCAATACATAGTTCTCATTTCATTACGACTTTATTTCTGTTTTTTTGGTGCTAATAATGATTGCTTTTATTTGTTTTTGTTCCTGGTTTCGAGTTAAGTCTTTTTTTCTATGGAAATTTCATGTTCGTAACCGCAAGATAAGTTGGCAGAAATGACCTATGAAATGTCTTTAATACACACTTAAATTCCATTTCTACCGTTGTTTTGATAAATTATATCAAATGAAGTTGAGTTTATAAGGGTTTTGCATTGCAATTGTCAATGTCATTTTGTCATAGTTAAACCTGAAGCTGTGCAATAATCAAGTGTTCACCAAAACCAGCTACACCAATTTTTGTTGGTCAGAAGAGGGTTAACCTAAAGGGTTAACAAGAGGGAATGAAATGGTAAAAAAGAGTGATTCTGGGATTTGTGGTTGAAGGATACAGTCCAGTTTCTGGAATTTGCTCTGACAGGTTGGATAGAATGGAGTTCGACAAATATTATTCTCTTAGCCTAGACTCTACATTAATTTGAGTAGCATAGTATGTTCAAAAGCTTTGTTCAAAGAGGAGCTATCATCTCAAATGGCTAATCTTCGGTTCTTAATCACAGGCCTTTCTAATTACTCTTTTCTGACCATTTGATTTTTTTTGTAGACAGCCTGTCGCTATAATAGACTGACAAGGTCTCTTAACGCCGTATTGGCGCATGCTTTTGCAGACACTGGTGGTGTTTTTTTGAGTATAACTTAAATAGTCAAATTTATGCATTTGTGACTACAGGATAATCAAACGGAAATAAGTTGTGAAGTGGCTTTTCGTGTAATTTCTTGGAATTGAAGAAAATTATGATTTTTCTTGCCATTTTTTATTGAATCATTTCGAATGAAGTTGCGTATATTGGAGTTGTTTTGTACTGATTGAGTGTTCTATAGGAAATATGCAATTTTGATTCGAACTTTCATGCAACTTCTGTCTTACATCGCTTCAATGACTGGATGTAGCCTCTGCGATTGATGGACGCGATTGTTTATATGCACATGCGTTGTAAAGTACAGGCACACGTCAGCCAATCGGTATGGTACTCTATCGTCCTCTCTACTATTTTTTTCTCCCACTTTAAAGCTTTCTATCAAAGGATGTCGATTGGACCAAATGGATGTGATAGAGCATGTCTCTCTGGTGAAGAAGGTGTGGTACGCGGTAGCTAAACGTATCTCCAACAGATAGCTGAAAAAAATGCGAATCTGATGAACCAAAGATGTTCCAATGCTTAGTGCTACTGAAGAACTTACCTGTCGCTGGTGATTAAGATAACTTTAGCTCAACGTATCAAGATCGACCATCAACAATTTGTTCACATCTACATTCACTGGGACAGTCGTGGAAGCTACTAAAGAAGTGGATGCCAACTGCATCCCAAGCGTTCAAGGTTGTGGTCAGCTCGAAGAGCTACCAACTGATAATTGTTCGCCTCTTCTACGTACGTTGTAAAGGCGCACCGCTCACTTTAAAACTGTTTGTTGACTGACCAACTGACTGGCTGGCGGCAATAGGCGATTTTCGTATCGCCACGTTCGTTAAGCGAACAAACGTATCATTGGTGGTTCCCAAACGTTCAATCCATTACTCCCGCTACCTACCCCACAATCTTGAGGTACGCACTACATATTCACAAAGTGCGACTGCTTGCTTTGTGTGTGAGGTGAACTACAAACGCAATTGTTCACTAAGGATGAATTTCCTGGTGAATACCAAGTAATTACACCTGAGATTCATCTACCTTATTCTACTCAATACAACTTGACTGTGCGGAAGGAAACCCTGTTCTTGAGAAATGACTAGAACCAAGGAAAAAATTTCAACTTTTGCCTTTATTGTACAGTATACAAGACCTCATTCTCTTTCTTGGTATTTGACAACCAACCGCGTGATCAAATGCCAAATAGAGCGGACAGTTGGGAATTAGAAGTGAGATAGAAAGGGAGATGGCTAGGCCTAACTTTGCCTTTGTCATGACTTTCTGAGTGTAAACTTTTTAATTAGGAGGGGTTTTACAGGTCATAATTAGGCTGATTTCGAGGAAAATATTTTAAGAAACTTCGCCCGGCTACTTGGTTCACAACAAAAAATTACACAAACCTGTTCGTTTAAATTTGTAATCCACATTAGCCTCAGCTCGCACTGAAGCTGTGAGGACCCAAGTGGAGGACAGACCTGTAATCCTGATGGAAGATGACAATTGAGCCTGCTAAAATCTTTTTAAAGGTCCATAGGTGCATTTGATATTTTTGCGTAATCTCTTCTACTTGTGGTACTGGTAGTGAAAGCATGTTCAAGGTTCCCACGGTCTGTGAGTTAATTAGCATATTTCTGAAAATAACTACATTGACTACATCCCCCTACTGTTGATTTGCCGCTTAAGGATAACTTTTGTCGAACATAAGAATGGTGGTGTTGCTATTATTGTTAAAATAACATCTGGCCTCAAACTTCCACGTTTTGTTTCTCTTATTTCACTAAAATTTGTAAGGAGCTTAATGATATTAGTCAATACCTGTGGAAAAAATTTGCTGTTGGAAGCTTTAATGCAAAAACTAGTTTTGTATATACAGTCATGGGGTCATTTGTTAAATTATTTCAAAGTATGATACGTCTTTTCTCCCAAAGTGCAAGTTTTATCCCCCTGGTGACTTCAGTGAAACTGTTGTCAGTTAGCAACTTAGCGAAAGCGAATGCATTGTTATTGCTATTTTAACGCAAACCTAAAAATAAGAATGCCTCCATGAATTCTCCTGAAAAGCCTTTTGACAGTAAATGAAACCACCTTTGGGTAAGGAAACAATCTTAATTCTCCCGATGACCTCAACAAACTTGGTGCAAGTCACTCAAAGAAATAGTTTCATCACTATCTCTCCCCTTCTTAAATAAAACATCAAATATCTTTTTAAACTAGAGGGGCCACCCTCATCCTGCTTGTGACCTCCATGAAGCTGCTACGTCATGGATTTTCCGGTGCCACGCGTATGTTCCTCAACTTCTTCTTCGCAGAGGTCCTGTTCACCTGCGACTTTCCTGGTCTGAGTGAAACATTCCCTGTGGACTACTTCTTTGTATCAATCATTTTAACTAAGGTAAGTCCCCCTTGCCTGTTTATTTTTTTTAACCGGATTTTCACGCCTGTAATGGGTGACTTGTTTGTATCCCACTCCTTTCCATAGCTAGTCGATAGCTGTTGGGTTAAGGCACTTTAAGGACGTATCATGTTTTCATCAAAAAGTGCAGAGCGAATTAGCCGCCTCAACCTTCAAAAGTAGTCATTTTGAAACGCCTTTAATTGCTAATCCTATCTATTTCAAAGCAAGTTACAATCATTGGGAGTGAATATTGTAGTCATCTACGCTCATTCTCCCCTACTAGTCGCCCGAGCATCCTTCTGGGGCGGAGTGTACTAAAAGCGAATCTTTTAAGGCGATCAAATAAGCTCCTACAGATAATTTCTGAAATTATTCGTTGAAACAATCAAAATTGTAACCAATACTTTGTAGTCCGTTCTCAACGAGACACGGGGTTGATACAAACTCCACTTTTACATAAAGCTTTATCTCTAGAAGCCAGGTCAAGGGCAAGCCTAGCCCTAGCTATATGTGCTCATTATCTCACTTTCATTTCCAAAGTATTAATTTTATTCTACCTATGCTCAAATGATTTTTGGTCTAATGCTAAGAAAAGGTGATTAATACCACTTGACGAAATACCATCGGAGACCTACGAGGGGCGAAACTGTAGTGGTAGAACTTATTTGATCATCCTACTGATTAAATTTTAGCAAACGATCCGGTATTTTATGTGTAGAATGATATCTCTCGAGGGAAAAAAGGTGAAATGTGGTTGCTGAGCTAAATGCACAAAAAAGTGTACCAAACAGCTTGTGCGATACCCTCCTCTAATCCGCGTCTTAACTACAGTCTTCTGAACTTTTGTAGTTTTGTAACACAAACATTCCCCATTCGATAAGTTCAGATTTGACAAGTCAATTAATTATACACTCTTAAGTAAGTATAAAATACTCTGCTTTCTTAAAAAATGTTTGTTAATATATTAGCTAGTAGTTTTTAAGCGATTTCGGGCAATTATATTGTATGTTTCCGCACCATAATTGCTTTTACTCACAGAGCCTTCTGGCATCGTCACTTTCAGGTGGCTGAACTGTGGAGCAAACTCTCTTTCGTGTACATTTACATCGCTCCCTTCCAGGCCAGCTGGGGATCCATTTGCCATGCTGTCGCACAGCTGGCCTCTATTCCGCGTATCCTTTGTCCCATAAAAATCGCTATAAATTTATTTGTTGTCGCGAAGTTACTGGTTGGATAATTACGGGGGAAAAAGCAAGAGAGAGCTTTTGCAATTAGTTTTGCTCCTCCTCTAGCCTGCTTATCTTATCCAATCCTCGCTGTACAGTGCTTCCTTGACCCCGACATATTCAGATTTTATATCTACCCTGGGGAATTGCATTTTCTCCACAGTGCTTTCAGCCCCACTGGAACCGTTTGTTGCAAGCGTCTTCTTCATTACCTCCTACACCAGACCTATCCGGTTCTGGGAGGCCACGCAAAAGTAATTCTTTACCTTGCCTTTTAACACCTTTTGACCCATGTGATGATGTTCGACATGTGCTTTTGACTCCAAAAGTATACCATTCGCTACATAGCCCCTTTTTTTTCGGGAGTACTTAGCTCCGTTTACTTCGTGTTTAAAAGCGCAATTTTGAGCTATGCGGCGATCATTTATGTCCAAATCAAAATTTTTCCAGTTTGGAACATTTTTTATGCACAAATTAAATAGGATTTTACGTATCGAACCAAAAATCGTCCTCCCTGTGATGGATTTTTTTATTTTCGAAATAACTACACATTTATCTGCTAATGCTACGAAAAAGCGTCATGCAGTATTAAATCGGTCCAGAACTTAAAGCGTTCTTGCTAATGCTTCTCCAAGGTCTTGGCTATCAGTTGAGAACATAAGCTAGATGAATACGTAGACTTAATTCATTCCATTTAATCCCCCCACTGATAAGTAATTTACGTACTACCTCGTCTCCTAATTTCGCTACAAGCCGGAAAAAAGAACATAGATGCTGTCAATTCACATCCACAGGTTAAGGTGAGACGCTTACTTACCGAGGTCATCTCATTTTAATACGATCCTATTTTATTCCTCAAAATGGAGGCATTTCTGAGGTTACCTAGGTTATACTCACCTGATATCCCCTAGACTACCATCGCAATCACAGATCCCACTCTTACGATCCCATTCTTCTCCACATTCCATAGAATCCACCGGATAGAATCGACTAATACCTCACTCTTCTCCCAACTGCGCGGAGTCTCATTCGAACAGGTGACCGCCAACCTGAACGCTATCTTTTACGAGCATATCGCACGGTGCCTGCAACAGCGTCTTGCAGGTGACATCGCACTGGGTCGATGGTCCAGCAGCAACGTGCAGGCTGGCGATATTTTTATTCTCGCCTCTGAGGAGCTTCATTTCCTCCTCCACATCATCGAGGTTGGAAATGGTCTTGTTACCTTCCAGATCCGCGGCCTTGAATTCGCTGGTGAGCACACTTAAAATATTCGTAATATAACCCCACGATATTTGAAGTGATCCAATTTGTTTGTGTAGACTACTCAAGGATTTTATTTTGCTACCCTATTGGAAACTTTTTAAAGCTGACTGGTGGCAAATAAGTCTAAGCCGAGAAAGTGATAAGTTGTTTTGAAATGTGTTTTCTTTTCACACCTTTTAACGAGTGTTTACCGTCCGTCTGTGGGTTTGCAACATAGTCGAGGATTGTTTTGCTTAAAGAGAGTTTGTCTGTTCGTTTTGACAGAGCTGTTCGTCATTCTTGAAAAGTACTTTTTTCATATCATTCATTTCGCTTGAATATATTTGACAGGATATCTCTAATCCTCATACCGATATAATACCAAACACCGTTCTCTTTGAAAGCATATTCTATTTTGAATTGCGTTTTGGGTTTTTAAGATGGTACTTACATTCGGTCTTCCAAATTTGCGTTACTGAAAGGCTATTGGTCTCTCTCTCAACAAGAGCCATCTTGACTACTTAGTTGTGTCTCTTTCGTCCATTGTAATCCATTAACCAAAATAATTTTAAGCTGAAATGAGTGTTGTATAACCAGAACAACTTAATACCAACCGGAGACAGCTCTTTGTTTTGGTGCGTGCTTTGTTTGAGTCTGTCTCAAGCTTCCGTTACCTGTTATCCAGGGCAACGTTGATTGTACGACCAACGATCAAGCCTGAAAGATGTTGCCTCATCCTCACTCCCTTATTCTCTTGATATTCCTTCAAGCGGTGGCCGTTGACTTTTATTCCCATTGGACAATCACATAGTCCTATGCAGACTGGAATTGACAGTTGGAAAATGAGGGTGGGGTCGAAGCCCTGGAGGCTAGGTCTAGATTCGGTTGCTTGCTACCAGGCGCTAGGCTTATTGGGAAAAGATTATCAGAGTTTACCTGCGATGCTTTGATGAACTAATGTGTGAGGACGGACGCAGAGGGCTGGTGCTCTCTGCTTATTACTTGCGATCTCAACCATGAGATCGGAGAAGACAAAGACTTTAGAGTAGAGGCCTTGGCTGCTTTGACTGCTCTAGCTCAAAATTGTGTGTCCCTAGAATACCGAATTAATAGCTCTCTTTTCAACTGGCCCTGAAGACATAGAGGCTATTAGCACATATGCAGCGCTAATTGGGACAGGCGAGAGCGCAAAGCTGGAATGTTTCTAGAATGTTTGAAAATAGGACCAAAAGAGGCGATTCAACAAAGACATTTAGAACGTCTATGTGGGAACCTCTAGAGCACTTAGAATCTCTGGGTGGGGTTGTTTTTTTTGAGTTGTGAAGCTTGTAATGGTGATTACTTCAAAGAATAAAATATTTTAATGAGCTTTTTGCAGTTACTTCTTATTGTAAAAGCCTTATGCACTTCTTTGGTTGCCCACCACTCTTGAGGGAAACGTTTTTGTGACTAACTTGCCATTTTTCAAAATCTGGCGTGAGTTGCTAGAGTTTAAACTTGCTTACTTCCAGTTGAAATCCGCAAGTCACTGCTTAGATTGGCATTCCTTATGTTTTTTTCAGTTTAACTAAGGAACTTTTTTATGTCTTGGATACTCTGGATGCAAACAGTAACTGTACAACTGGTTAATACTTGGTTCGCCCGATACAGTAAAACATTCCTAGCTGACGTCCCGATTTCATTCCTTTACATTCACTACCAATGTCAAAGTAGCATAATTTCTATCATTTGTCGAGTCTCATCTTCTTTCGTCTCTGTAGCACCGAATCTCACTAAGGCACCTTCGATATCATTTTCCTTCGACGCTGTCATAAATGGACTTGTAATTCTTTAACTATCTCCCAAAAAGCTGTAACATATCATCTGGACCTTAAGAGACTTCGATAACTTGTTTTATCGTAGGTTTAATTGAAATTAATATCATTCCCTTCCAAAGCACGTGCTTTGTCCATCTGTCATATAAATGCTGTGGGATTCTGCTCCATACGAGTGTTTATGAATAAAAACCTCAAGCCTTAAGCTGCTACTTTGAATTAGTGAATCTTTTTTCCCTTCCCCTTCTATCGTTTAGGCACGTACTGTCATGAGCAGGAGAGCAACGGTCTGTCGGAGCCGCATTTGGGGGGCCGGGACTTCTGCTGCTGCACCCTGCGCCGTCTGCCCGCTGCCTTGCTCAGTCCCAACTCAGCCATTCGCCTGCGCTGGCTGGCCTGGCAGTTCGTCCACACGCCCTACACCATTGAGGGCTATCGTCTCATTGACCACAGCGCTGCTACCTCCCTCCAGGTCATCGATTTTCGCAAGATTGTCCTCGCTCTCTTCATTCAGGTTTGTTGTCTCTTTGGTAGATCCTAACTTTTTTTAATTGGTCATTTTTCCTTTTAGACCCAATGGATGATTCTGTCAAGTCATTTGATTTCTTTACTAGCTTTGTTGATTTTCATAAATGGTCGAATACTATTGGAATAGTAGCTTAAAAGATTGCGTGAAATCACCTGCTGAAACGAACCTTTACATTAAAACTATCAGGAAACATACCGTGTCTTCTTGAGTCCTCTCTGAGGCCATCATAATAAACCATACCAATATAGAAGATTTACTGTTAGCATACGGAAAGGCTGGGAGGCTATAGGTAGGGCCTTCTCCCATGCCGCAGGATTGGATTACAAACTGTGGAAACCGCGCCTCAAGTCTTCCTCAAAGTCATAATTCACTTACTAACATACAGAAGAGCTGGGCAGAAGACTAAGGTATCAAAACGGAAGTACGTCTTTCTGAGGTCGGAGAGCCCGCGTAGTTACGCACTAAAGCGTGATTGTCAGCCTATTTTGTTGATGCCTCGAGTCACCTTTGCCGCCATGATTGCAGGATTGATCTCATATTCGAAAGTGACGCAGATTTTTATGGACTAAAATATGCACTTTTCACGTTTTTTTGCGGTTATGCCCCAAACGTTCTCTTTACCCCACCTATAATCCCATGATTGTCTGCCTAATGCTAAGAAAGGATAACAATAATGTCGTCGGGAGACATCAGAGTAGGGAAGGTGAGGGGGAGGATAACGACGAGGTGGCGTTTTCCTCCCTCTCACCTGAAGTGTGAAATGAGACCTAACAAGAGGGTTTTGGAGTATGCAGAATGAGAGTGGGAACTATCTCCCCAATGCTCTATTGGCCCCGACTCCGAAGGGTCAAGGTGAAATGTCTGAGACTTTGGATTCTCCTCTCAGAATTATTACTTTGAAGTTATTGAGTAATTTATGCATTGTTACCCAATAGGGGGTATTTTTATCTTCACTTTGCTGCCAGCAAGATCATTTTCGGTGCACTTTGTTACGACGGCGTTGGTTTTTTCTCAAAATTTCAGGCGATCTTAAAAGATCTCCCAATTAGTTTTATGCCTTATGAGTCTGTACTCAACTAGGTTCGTCGGTTTTTTACTGCTTCAGTAAAATCAAAAGTCGTGTACAACAAGGTTTGGGTGGTTACTTCCTATCTCCTCTTGATACATATGCCCTTTCTTCGCGAAGATTTAGGGGCATTAAATAACTAACTAACCTCAGATCATCCAAAATGAGCAAACATGAAGATTAAACTCCATGTTGTTTTGGGCATGAAGTAATTAGAGCATGAGCTTACGAAATAACGAAGCAGCAATTAGGTTTTTCTTCAAGATGTCACAAGACACAGATAACGTCCATCCCACTGCTGCCATAATGTAATAATTTTGGTGTCAGTGCATGCTTCAGCTAACTCACAGCATCATAGAATTTCTAGACATCGTCCACCAGACTGAAATTAGAGCTACTGACGGAACACAAGTCTGTAAATATCTGCTTCCTGGTGGTAGGGTGGACTAAAAGATTGGCGTTACAGATGGTATGATTAGAGGCTGTTTCCGCATTCCAAGCTATGTTTGCTTCTGCCCTGGACGTCATCCCTAGCACCCCTATTTTACACCTCTTCGTTTTAATTGTAATGGTGTTAGTCGAGTGCCTTGAAATTGTGCATGAGATAGAAACGGAGATATTAAAATGAATCCTCATAAAAATAAGGGGGTTTCTCATCCTAATACTAGTGGTGTATCTTGCATATTTCAGTAGGATTCCTCTGTCACAGGACATTAGAAACAGGCCTTATAATTAGCTGACGTCGAAATGGGATTGTTCAATTCTTTGCTCAGTAACTCGAGGTTAATTGTCTTCCTCCTTATTAGTGTCTCCTCTACTTCACGGCACGGCTGCCAAATCTGTCGGGTCGGTTACAACTTTTCTCCGCTGAATTGACCGAACGCTTTGTGGGTGAGAACAAGGCGGATTTGGATCCCGTCTTCAGCAAGATTTTCGACGAGGATTTTGATGAGTCCGTCTCAGGTGTGACTCGTGCTGCCTTCATTCGGGTCTACGCCGAGTGGATTCGCTACTGTCTCTCTAAATGTCCAGAAAATAAGGTATCTAGAAGTTACCTAAGGACAAACACGCTATGCTAGCGGCTTAAAACAAATATCCAAGCTTTTTAGAGTAAATGATTTCCTAGCATTTGATTTAAATCTAAGGAATTTAGAAATATGAGTCTGGAACGCACAGAGACTATAATGCTGGTAGCACAAGTGTCATGAAGGTAGGTAATAAGGACAGCGTGAAGACCAAATCATTTCTGCTAAATAGATCTCATTTCCTTTTCGACCATTGTTTCCGGCGCCCTCAGTAACTACACTTCGGTGTCAGCCGCCGAAATGGCATTTCAGAGACTTAAAACTCATCACAAGATCGTCCAATGACTATCCATTACAATGAAATGGCTTCTTAGCCTGATTATAGCGATGCGCTGCAAAGATTTCGATGGGGTCATTCATCACATTCTTTTTGGAAACTGAATCGTAAG